TAATAATCATCAAATTATAAGAATTACTTTTGTAGTTATGCCATATTTTCAGATATATATTGAAATATTTTTTTTTGCATCTTACTGCAATTTGTTGTGACATACATTATCAGACACTCTCTATATTCAGAAAAGTACTTATTGTGTATCCAAAATTTTATGTATTGTTTCACATAACTTGTACATTATTTTCTAGAAGGGAAGTAACTCTCTAACTACAGCAGGTCAGAAGTACGTAGATGGAAGGAAGGCACTTCTTTGTTATTACAAAAAAGAAACCATATGGATAAAACTTTTAGTGTTGTGTCCAGTGTTTGTTTATGAAACCCTGTTTTCTTAGATGATGTTTATGAAGTATGTTAAATAATGTGATTGCTTTCAGACTTTTGTATTAGAGACTTTATTATTGTTTATTTATAAAATGTTTCTGGTACTATCAGTCCATTTTAGTGATTGGGTTATCAAAGATGTACCACTTTCACAAGTCACAGTATTAAGAGTCATCAAGAAATGTGAAACTATTATGGCACATTGATTGGCTTTTTTTTATGTTTCGAAAATGTAGATCACTTCTGAGGTTCATTGGATCTCTTGAGGGCATTTGGTTCTTACTGGTGCATACCTAATCTGTCTCTGAATTTTATATCTTGAACTATTGTGAATTGTGTTATGACATCGCTTTGAGTAGTGATACAAATATTAGCAAAAGTGAAAATGTTATGGTTCTGCATGTTAAATGTAATAAGTAGGTATTTATAACACTCAGATTGGTCGGTATTTCTATAGATTGATTATGAAGTCATTACGTATTAAATTAAAAATCTGTACTCCTCCCCCAATATTGTCAGGGTGATTAAGTCGAGAAGAATGAGATGGGCTGGGCATGTAGCGCACATGGATGGGGCAAGAGGTGTGCACCAGGTGTTGGTTGGGAAGCCTGAGGGGAAGAGACCGCTGGGGAGACCTAGACGTAGATGGGAAGAGAATCTCAGGCGGGATCTATGGGAGATAGGAGATGAAAGAGACTGGATTTTGTTGGCCCAGGACAGGGTCCGGAGGAGGCTTTGGTTAATTCGGTGATGAACCTTCGGGTTCGGTAAGCCATCTAGTTAGTTAGTTATGGCCTCATATGTGTGAAATACAGTAGTTTATGTGGTTAATGTGATCTCTACAATATTTTAAATTAATTTTCACATATTTCATGATATAATAAAGACAAACTCAGGGGAAAGTATTTGTAACTGCAATAAGAAACATGATGCCATCATTCTGTTGATGACAAGTTGAATCACTAAATGTAGGTTACTTGAAGTGTTCACAAGTGTAACTCAGTGTTTGCCAAGAATAGTCGCCATCTTATGTTACTAGCATACTATTGGCTGGATATTCCATTGTATGGGGATTAGACGGGCACTATTCAAGAGCACAGAAAATATGAATTTTTAATAATTCCTGATAATAGAATATACCAAAATATTTATAATATCTTATTGGATTTAGAATAACCACTGGTGTGGGGATCCATGTCTCTTTTATGTCAATCCATTTTTAATGTACATGCAACTTGGTGATAAGTGGATTTTATATTTTTGTGCTTGTCTGCATTGAATTTCTTTTCTTTTGAAACTTTTTGTACCCTGTCTGTTATTTTGTATGGTTATATGTTACAACTACATTCAGAGCACTGGTACATGACTTTTTGCTCGGTTAGTGTTTTGTGAATCATATGTACATCTCATTCGAGCTTTTGTAAGTGTATGCAATTTTTACTACCACTTTATATGGCTAGTTATTATATACTTGCTGTTTTATGTTACAAAAACAGATTACATGTCATTAAGAATAGAGAATATCAAAAATATAGTCAGTTTAACATGTTATTTTCTGGATAATGTGAAAAATGAACTGATTTGTATATATGAGTGTTTTCTTATTGCACTTTTTATTCCAGTCAACATCTAAACCAGTTCATGAACTTAATCTTGTCTACATTATTTAATTTTATCATATCCCTTATGTTGTCAATACATTCATCACAGAATATTTTAGTCGGATACCAGTAAACTGTCATTTCAGATTTGTTTTGTGACTTGTTATAAGTGGTATAGAAGCCTGCAAACCCTAATCCTTTTGATTCTTAAAATTGTCAGTTCAGTAACAAATAAAAATAAAATAAAAAGTAAATGTATCCCACTGCACACTATGTATGTGCTGGAGTGTAGGTGTGGCTCTTACTCATTCTTAACCTCTGCACTAGATGGGGGTGAGTGGTCAGTCAGCTCTGTTTGTGCTTTATCCTATAGCAAGGACCCCAGTACCCATTGGACAGGAGGCTGGGTGGACCCTAGTTGGTGCAAAACAGCAAAGAAGCAATAATAATCATCAAATTATAAGAATTACTTTTGTAGTTATGCCATATTTTCAGATATATATTGAAATATTTTTTTTTGCATCTTACTGCAATTTGTTGTGACATACATTATCAGACACTCTCTATATTCAGAAAAGTACTTATTGTGTATCCAAAATTTTATGTATTGTTTCACATAACTTGTACATTATTTTCTAGAAGGGAAGTAACTCTCTAACTACAGCAGGTCAGAAGTACGTAGATGGAAGGAAGGCACTTCTTTGTTATTACAAAAAAGAAACCATATGGATAAAACTTTTAGTGTTGTGTCCAGTGTTTGTTTATGAAACCCTGTTTTCTTAGATGATGTTTATGAAGTATGTTAAATAATGTGATTGCTTTCAGACTTTTGTATTAGAGACTTTATTATTGTTTATTTATAAAATGTTTCTGGTACTATCAGTCCATTTTAGTGATTGGGTTATCAAAGATGTACCACTTTCACAAGTCACAGTATTAAGAGTCATCAAGAAATGTGAAACTATTATGGCACATTGATTGGCTTTTTTTTATGTTTCGAAAATGTAGATCACTTCTGAGGTTCATTGGATCTCTTGAGGGCATTTGGTTCTTACTGGTGCATACCTAATCTGTCTCTGAATTTTATATCTTGAACTATTGTGAATTGTGTTATGACATCGCTTTGAGTAGTGATACAAATATTAGCAAAAGTGAAAATGTTATGGTTCTGCATGTTAAATGTAATAAGTAGGTATTTATAACACTCAGATTGGTCGGTATTTCTATAGATTGATTATGAAGTCATTACGTATTAAATTAAAAATCTGTACTCCTCCCCCAATATTGTCAGGGTGATTAAGTCGAGAAGAATGAGATGGGCTGGGCATGTAGCGCACATGGATGGGGCAAGAGGTGTGCACCAGGTGTTGGTTGGGAAGCCTGAGGGGAAGAGACCGCTGGGGAGACCTAGACGTAGATGGGAAGAGAATCTCAGGCGGGATCTATGGGAGATAGGAGATGAAAGAGACTGGATTTTGTTGGCCCAGGACAGGGTCCGGAGGAGGCTTTGGTTAATTCGGTGATGAACCTTCGGGTTCGGTAAGCCATCTAGTTAGTTAGTTATGGCCTCATATGTGTGAAATACAGTAGTTTATGTGGTTAATGTGATCTCTACAATATTTTAAATTAATTTTCACATATTTCATGATATAATAAAGACAAACTCAGGGGAAAGTATTTGTAACTGCAATAAGAAACATGATGCCATCATTCTGTTGATGACAAGTTGAATCACTAAATGTAGGTTACTTGAAGTGTTCACAAGTGTAACTCAGTGTTTGCCAAGAATAGTCGCCATCTTATGTTACTAGCATACTATTGGCTGGATATTCCATTGTATGGGGATTAGACGGGCACTATTCAAGAGCACAGAAAATATGAATTTTTAATAATTCCTGATAATAGAATATACCAAAATATTTATAATATCTTATTGGATTTAGAATAACCACTGGTGTGGGGATCCATGTCTCTTTTATGTCAATCCATTTTTAATGTACATGCAACTTGGTGATAAGTGGATTTTATATTTTTGTGCTTGTCTGCATTGAATTTCTTTTCTTTTGAAACTTTTTGTACCCTGTCTGTTATTTTGTATGGTTATATGTTACAACTACATTCAGAGCACTGGTACATGACTTTTTGCTCGGTTAGTGTTTTGTGAATCATATGTACATCTCATTCGAGCTTTTGTAAGTGTATGCAATTTTTACTACCACTTTATATGGCTAGTTATTATATACTTGCTGTTTTATGTTACAAAAACAGATTACATGTCATTAAGAATAGAGAATATCAAAAATATAGTCAGTTTAACATGTTATTTTCTGGATAATGTGAAAAATGAACTGATTTGTATATATGAGTGTTTTCTTATTGCACTTTTTATTCCAGTCAACATCTAAACCAGTTCATGAACTTAATCTTGTCTACATTATTTAATTTTATCATATCCCTTATGTTGTCAATACATTCATCACAGAATATTTTAGTCGGATACCAGTAAACTGTCATTTCAGATTTGTTTTGTGACTTGTTATAAGTGGTATAGAAGCCTGCAAACCCTAATCCTTTTGATTCTTAAAATTGTCAGTTCAGTAACAAATAAAAATAAAATAAAAAGTAAATGTATCCCACTGCACACTATGTATGTGCTGGAGTGTAGGTGTGGCTCTTACTCATTCTTAACCTCTGCACTAGATGGGGGTGAGTGGTCAGTCAGCTCTGTTTGTGCTTTATCCTATAGCAAGGACCCCAGTACCCATTGGACAGGAGGCTGGGTGGACCCTAGTTGGTGCAAAACAGCAAAGAAGTGGTTCTGCATGGTGCTTGAGAATTTGCCAAATCTTTGGACCTTTTTACAGAGAAGGACAATGAAGGTAAGTTAACTATTCAGTTAATGTAGCATTTATTTTGATGTTTATACTACTATAAATTTTATGGTATTTCCCATAACTTTAAAACTACCACAATTATAGTGCATGTTGCATACTGGTTTAGTTTTGTGGTTATGGTTCGTCTTGGTTGAACTGTTTCCCTCCCCCTGAACGAATAGGAGGTGAATCGTGGTTACGGTAGAACTTGTCCGAGAGAATTTCGATGAAGTATCCCGAAATCACAGTTCCAGGCTATTGGGTCACTTCTGGTTAAGAAACCAGTTTAAAAAAACAGTGTGCGTACAGAAGGAAAACTAGAAATTGCGGTTATGTTAGAACAAATCATTCAGACGCATTGCACAAGACACCGTCAGCAGAAAAAGCGACGAAGTTGCTGAAACGTCATGTTCTGCAACCACGTGACCCGGCTAGCTACAGGTTTTCGCAGTAGGTTCTTGAAGGTAAAGTGTGTTGTCAGTTGACTTTCTGTTGAAACCTTATTTGCAAGGACATGTTACGTCTTCCCAAAATAATCGGTACGTGAGTTCTGTTGTGTGTGCGCTTGTACAGAGACCGTTTTCAGCACATCATGTAGTAGACGTAAGTTGCTTTTGTTGTTTTATGAAGCGATATTTGATTAGTATCGGGAATATGTCGCGCTTGACGTTGAGTCATGTGTTGTATTTGAACGTACACAATTCTTTTGTGTTTTCGTAGAGCAATCATGTTTTATGTTACACTGTGTAAGCCTCCTGCAACCGGAAAGCCCTCTGCTGGAGACGATTAAACAAATGTTTTTACTTCCGGGAGTTCGTGAGTTACAGTTGCGTTTAACTTTATTAGTGAACGAAAGCCAGGTATACCGAAGTAAAGGGGCAGTGTTAAGTGATTACATTTTCATTCTTCAACAAATATCCGGTAAGTTACATGGGACATGTGTAAAGATATATATTTTATGTTTTGATCCAGTTTTCTTTGTTAAACTCTAGTTTGATAAAAGAAGCTGATTAGTTATTATTGTGAATATTTGTATAAATTTATGGTTTCTGGCTTATCAGTATTGTGTGGTGGAGGAGGAGGTTATTGTTAATTAATAAAACAACAGTTTTAGAATTTTAACTTGAAAACTGTCTTAACACAGCCACAAGAGGCCTGTGTATGTTTCTGATATGCCTCATTGTACTAGCCTCATGTTGTCAAATGATGTTGTTTGTCTTGATACTGAAAGTCTAAAGTTACATTAAGTGGGGAGTGATGATGCTATTTCATTTTTAAAAGATGCATTTCCTGTGAAATTTCCTGGTATTAAAATTATTTCAACTACTGAAACTGAGATAAAAAGCTATGATGAAGTAGTAAGTAAAGTTTTGAAAGCTTCTGGTTTAATTAGTCACCTGTTAGCCCATATCTGTAATCACTGATGACACAGGCATTTTCCTTGACTGTCTTAAAATCTTAGTAGTAAAACGACTGTACATAAAATGTTACAAAATTTATTATGACAACTATAGACCATTTTCATTAACTGCTTTCTCCGATGTACTTGAGAAGGTTATTTACAATAGGTTAACAAATAATTCACCACAATATAAGTATTGGTTATAATGGAAATCATATAGAAGACTCAGTAGATACAAAATTTCTTGGTTTACAAACTGATAAATACATAAAATGGAAAAATTGTACTGATCAAATGGTTCCATAGTTAAGTGGAGCATGTTATGCAGAGAAATCTATGTTTAATGTAAGCAACATTGACACTCTCAAATTAATTCATTTTACAATGAAGTATGGAATAGTTTTTTTGGGGTATCTTATGTAACAGCAAAAGATATTCACTTTAAAAAGGAAAATTATTAGAATAATGGGTGGTGTCAAACCAAGAAATTAATGTAGAAGTCTGTTTAGGAGATCAGAGATATAACCTCTTCCAAGTGAATACATATTCTCATTAATAAACTTCACTGTGAATAACCAAAAATATTTTCAGATAAATTCCACTTTTACACAGTCTTAACACAAGGAATAAGTGTCAGCTTCTTAGACCAATCGCCAATCTCTCACGCTTTCAGAAAAGTGAATTCTTTACTTGCATCAAAATTTTCAACAGTTGCACCATCTAGTCTCACAAGTCTTTTGCATTAAAAAGGTACTTAAGTACATACCCATTTTGTTCTGTTGATGAATTTCTAATGTTTGAAAATTACTCTTATTGTTTTTCAAGGTTTTCTTAACCTTTGTGTAGTATAATTTATTTGCTGTATATGTGAGGATTTATTTCAAACAGTTCATTACTTTATGTGAACGCTTTATTTATTCTCTGTGTAAAGTTTTTAATACTTTGAATTGCACTTGTATATATGCATTATCTTTTTTATGACTCATTCTACATCCTTTTTTTGTCTGACTGGCGTACGGATTTCAAGGAATGTAATAATGTATATGTGTTGCATTGTAAAGTTGTTCTGATTGTTTAGACCAGTGGTATTAAACCTGGGGTACGCGTACCCTCGGGGGTACATGAAATTTAAAAAAATATATATATTATTTTATGATAAACACTGAATAATCAGGACCAGATTTAGGGTTAGCCACAGGAGAACCGGACATAAGGACATTCGATTTGGGAGCGCCGTTTTCTCTCTCTCTCTCTCTCTCCTTTATGTGATTCTTATCTGGGTGGCTAGTTTCACTTTACTCCACATAGTGCTTTGAAACCTGACAACACTATTGGGCAGGATTTGAACATATAATTTTGCTTTGTTAAAATACCTTTGTTTCTTTATTAATTTTTATATGATAGGCAATAATATATTTATTATTTATTAGCTTGATTCTCCTTTTTCTCATTTAAAACATATTATTTAATACATTATTTTGGATGTAATTTATTTAATTTATTTTAGATGTAGGTTATATACTATGTATAACTTGAATTATACACCAACAACTTTGGAGGTACAAAGTTGAAGAGAAATTATAGAATTTAATATGAAGACGTGAGGATAAGTCTAAGTATTACTAATTCTGAACCAGAGGATTAATAGCTTCTCTGACAATAAAGATGGAGTGAAAATATTTTTGGACATAGCACCTTTATGGATGCAATAACCTTTTGTAGAAGAACATGTGCGTATTGAGGATAAGCTGCATTATCACTCATTGCTGAAGAACCATTTTTAGCTGAATTAAAACCAAAAGAACGACAAAGAAAGACTGTGCTTTTAAAAGTTTGAGAAGTAAATTATAAAATTTAGAATATTTTATTATGATTTTTCGTTGGTTGTATTCTATTAAGGGCTTGAATTTTCCTTGGTCTATACGTGCATCTCTTCCATTTTCGTACCATGCAGTGCTGTTAATAAACACATTCGGACGTGTTTGCTCTATGCTAGCAAGGAAATTGTGGTTGATATTGGTAGTGAAAAACTGCCTGCACGCTGTAGGCTCATCTAAGAAAGTGCAAATAATTTTTATCCAACTAAAGCTTTGAGATGACAGTAAAGCATTTGTCACTCACCACGTAAGTTGATATCGTCAATGTAAAGGGTTTATCTTTCCTTCTGTTTTATACATTCATCTATATGTGACACTACTCCTGATGGTTTACTGGAGAAATTTATCACAGGCACCCTCGATTCGTGTCACGTTCAAGACTTGAAATATTGTACCCAAGGATATATTCGAAGCGTGTAAAATATCCTGTCTCTTCCATTTTCCACTTGTAAATTCCGTACTCGTAAATAGGCCTACGAGTTCGTTTTTGTAAACCAAACAGTCCTATAATTTTCAACTGTGTCAACTTACACACCGGAACATACGCGACGAACTAATTTGTATTACTTCAATTCCTGCATCATCTATAATTTAAGGTTTCAGCTACCACGGAATTAATTTTGTTGTTGACTTTTGTCGCTAATGAGAATTTCATACTGTACTGTACTATTGAACTTTTCCTGTGGCACATTTTACGTTGTCGTAAGGAAGAATAGATTCGAGGTAACGATCAAGCTGTGTGTGTGTCACCTGCTTTAACAACCAATAACTACGTTTTGTGTTTCGTATGATTTTCAGTGTAAAGAGCGATTCATTTCTTTATACGACATTGATTAGTTGGTCTTTGTAATTATGAAGAGTTGTGTTTTCTTTGCGGTACGGACTAAATTCTTAAATATTATTTAGACGAGCTTCGTCTTCAACACGTTTCTCCGGTTGTTTATCCGACGATATTTTCTCAAATGTTTAGGTGACGTAGAATGATTAGTAGCGTAATGAATTGGAAATGCCGAGGAAGGAACGATTTGAAGTAAGGTACTGACTGATCCGGAATTTGCTCGTAGGGACTGAGGTATTCCAGGAAACCGACAGTCGGGGGTAATAGGTCTTCGCATCGAGATTCGAAATCGACTCGACGTTTGGTGATAATTTTCAGGAAACAGAAAAACGACTTTCGGAATGCTCTTTAAGCCACATTCGTTGATTTGTTTTAAATTAACACATTTATTATGACACAATTTATACATAAACTTCAGGCAAAGAAATGCTATTTTGCCCATATTATCTGTAGTAATTTACGAGTTACGAAGCAGCAATCGGGTTGTGAGTTTGGCTTACCCTGCTTTTCTGTAATTCGTGAAACATGTTTGAGATTGGCAGAGAAAGGCGGTTATAAAGTTTAGACACCTAACAGGAAATTGGCGAGAACTGAAGCAGTTTTTACTTGAAAGCGAGGATGATATGTATTTCAGCTGTTATGTGAAAATTGATAAAAGCGTTTTTCCTTGGTTTGCTGTTCTTTCTGTCTGTCTGTCCGTCTGTCTATCCTACTTAAGATTCAGGTGACGCCTGCCCCAGCCTTTCAGTTCCACTGCTTTATTTATTATGGTGGCGCACTGCCGTGTTAGTAGGAGCAGTTGAAGTCGTGTTCGAGAAATGTGCGTGATTCGAATATATATTGGATCGACCTTTTTTCTTGTATAAGGAAGAGGTGTGAGGGGGGTAGTCTAAAATAGGAGTTACGTTAACTGAGGCAGGCAGTACAGTTAGAACTCATTTATTAAAACTGTGCAACACGGATGAATGTAACGGAGTTGGCAGTTCATGATGTGGAAATAGCATCTTTTTTTAACGAATTGATGCTCTGCTTTGAAATGTATGAACGTCTGCTAATCAAGGGCGAAGCGTTCTTGTAAAAGGTGTTAGCCCGGCTAACACTTTTATAAGTGTAAAATAGAAGTCTTTTGTCGTGTCGTGGTCCAGTAGTACTGCATGCACTGGAACGTAACAGACCGTTCTCCACGAGCGTAAGCCTCAGGTACGTAGTTGGCAAACACCGCCTGGGTGGACGCAACTGGCTAACGATGCAGGTTCTGCTGTGTTCCAATATATGGAATTTTACTGAACCACGAAAGTAAGACAAAAGTGTTATCCGGGCTTACTCAGTTATCACGGTTGACATAAATGCTGCACCCCTGATGCGAATTAAATGTAGTTTAGGTCAATTTGTTATCTGTTCACACCAGATGATTTGTGTCTGAATTGAAAGGCACTTATCACGAGGGTTGTGGAATTTTATATCATATATTTTATATAATCTGTTTGGCTCAATGGTAGATGTAATAAATTTCAGAACAGCTTTGGTCCTCGGACATCACCAGCTTATTCCCGAAAGTCGAA